TCCAAAAATCTCTGGGGATTCAAGTATCACTTAGTCAACATGAATCCAGGTACGCTTTCACAATTTTGTTATTAATTTATTTCTTAATAATCACCATAAAAATTTTGAATTTAATAGGCGATGGTTTTCGCCAAAAGTTGATATAAGCAACTACTAGCATTCATCCTTACATAGAGACACTACTGATTAATATTTCTCCGGGACAAAAAAATCAGCCAATCAAAGGCAATATAGAAAATAGAAATCAGGGTCAACATTAAAACAACAATAATGAAAATTTCCAACATGTAGAGAAGGACAACAAATTTTGTATCAGATTAGGGAGAAAAAACAAGAAAAGGCAAATATTTCACAAAAAAGAAAAACAGAAAGCTCATTATTTCTTCTTTTTCTCTGTCTCATCGCCACATCTTTCTAGCCTTAAAATGGTTGGAATTCTTCTCTTATTTCACAAGCAAGCACGAATACACAATAACAAATGCATACAAGTCCACTCAAGAACAACAAAAACTAAAGAAAACCGCATTTTAAAAAAATGTTTGCTAGCTTTGTCTTTGCCGGCAAAAATGGCAAGCTGACCCAACCATGGCAGTCGTTGTCCTTGCCCACCCAAAATCACATTTGATAGCTTTGTCTTTTGTTTTTCTTGCTAGTTTTAACTAATTTTCTTAATTTTATTCTAAAAAATGTTTTCAAATTTATCCTTTAATGGAAAGTTCTTTGGTTACAACCTTTTTTTAATATGTTACAATCCAATAAAAAGTGGGGGTTTCTTACGCAGACAAGAATTTTCTTAGTCATGCTTTTTATCAGTAAGTTTATGCTAAAATTATTTCTTAATTCTTTTTGGCATTTTTCAAGTTTCTAAACTGTTTATTTCCTTCTTTAGCTTAACACTTGGATGGGTAGTTTGGACGCAGAATTGATTCAGAGGCCTATCAAAATTAAGTTAATATTTTAGCATAAACTTATTAAATAAAAGTAGAAAAAACCTTGGACGTGTTTTAGATATTGAATTATAACAAGTTAATATAACATGGATATTGGATAGATAATGATAAGACAAGAAATTCGTGTATGACCCAAATCTAAATAAACAAAAATTGTTTGTGTATTCTAACAAGCCAAAAATGTTAGGGATTGATGCATGAGAGTTTCTGCAATGCTGCCTATTGCTAGTATTCTCTAGTTTTTTGGTGAAAGTATTGCTGCTTCCTATTCTTTGATAAGGTATTCAATACTTTTCTATTGTTGTTATTGTGGGATAAGTTATCTGAAAAGGTATCGAATGTAAATATCCTTTTGATATTGGTTGGGTGATTTGGCTTTGTTTGCAAATTTTGTACTTATTTTCTAATTCCTCCTTTTGATCTCGGTCTAATTGTGACTCTTTGATTCCTTAATTGCTTTTCTAATTTCTTGGCTGAAAGATTGTACATCTTACTTGATGGTTTCTCTGACCAATCTCTCCTTTTTCTCTAATCAAGCATGTTTGCTAGATTATGAATTTATTCATTATCCACGACGTCTGCTAATTCTTCTTTCTCATTGTTATCTCCATCCACGAATAGATCTTGAGTTTTTTGATAAATTTATTCAGTATAGAATTGCACCAGATTTTCTAATTGCATTTGCTAAAAAAATTTAATATCGAAAAATTTTCATCCACAGTCAATCTTTTAAAAGTTGTCCTCAATTGCAAGGGATGACCAATTGGAGCAAACTTCATTTTCTTCTATTCTATCATATGCGATCCGTCTTACAAGCCAATGATTGATTGCTCCTTAACCGAATGATTCTTATACTTGAGACAGACCAGTGCTAACATTTGAGAATCATTCATAAGAGTGTAAAAAATCATTCGGTTATGGAGCAATTAAATCATTGGATTGCAAGACAGATCATATATGATAGGGTAGAAAAAATTGAAACCCTCTCCTATTGGCCATCCCTTACAATAGAGAAGAAGGGATGAGATGAGACTTGAGAGGAGAAAGGAGAATGGTGGTAGGCGGAGAGACAAGAAAGGATGAGATGAGAGGAGAAAGGCGGGTAAGGGAGAATGAAGAGGGAGGATATGGTGGTGCTGGAAGGGTAAAGATGGTGGTGGGGTGCTTTTAGGGTAATAGGAGTTTTTTGAAAAAAAAAAAAAAACTATTGTATTTTTTGAGGTGTTTTTAGTAAGTACGATGTTTTAGTAAAAATTTTATATTTCTAAACACACTAAAAACTTGGATGACAAACAGAGCCGTTACATTGATTAGAAAAATCTTAGAAGCTTGGTTTATTATCCAACTAATATATCTTATTGTTAAATCTAGTTTATAACTATATGCCTAATTGGAAGGAATCGAATTACATGCTATGGCCTGCTAACTCCATCCCTACCATTAATTTACTTCAGAAATATGGAGAGATAACTTCAAATCCAACCTCAGTAGCCATACTTCATAATTTTTATTTTTTTTTTGCTAATCTACCATTTGTGACAGGCTTTACGAATTAGTTCCTGCTTTGGCTCGAGCAATTTGTTAGGGATCTGCAATTCCATTAGATGGTTGGGTAGCGATCTCCCGTGGAATTAGATTTTGGTTTCATTTGCTTACTCAAATACACTTGATGGTTTTCATCTAGTTTAATCAACACAATAACTTCTCATCAAACCAAGAAAAGATCCACCAAGAGAAAGATGGATCAGTGTGGAAGAAATTGATCCCATGATGCATGATGTGTTTGCTGGAGTGAATTGTTTGTAAATATTACTTTGAATTCAAAGTCTATATATATTAGTTAATCATTTGAATATTTGTCTGGATTCATTATACTTAATATTACTATATGCCTGTAAATAGATCATAGACCATTGTAACCAAAAAGTGAGAAATAAAGAAAATATTTCCCTAATTTCTTTCTTTATTCACCGTGTTCATGATAATTATTTCAACCTACGGGATTATCAACGTAATTAGGTCGACATGCATTGGAAAATTACCTCCCTTTAGCCCTTTTCTTGTGACACAACTAGACCTACATTACTAATCACATTTGATTAGTGAAGAATCATGATTATTAGCCGAAATAACAATGACCCCATTACTGTTGATCATGATAGTAGGCTATGCCTTTAGCAAGGTAATTTTCTTCGAGAAATATACTATTAATCATTTGCTAGTGCCATGAAATTTTACAGATCATGAAATGATAGATATAAACATAAAAAGCCAATGATGGGTGAGGTTAGGGACAGTTTTTCCTTCTTTTTTTTTTCTGTGAAGGAAACTATTTGTAAGGTACTCTTGAGTTTTACAGAGGGTTATGGAGTTAGATTAATTATGTTAGATAAAGACGAAGAGGTGACCAAAGTTCTAGAGGGGAATTCCTATGAAGTTCCTGTACTTCTAAACTGACAACCTGATGAACTTGAGAAACCTAGATATAGTATTGTCTTTTAACTCAAGCATTAAAAGTTAAAAAAGAAAAATGTATTGAGTTTATGTGAAATGTTTGTTGGAATAATTACTTATGGTTTGAGTTATCAAATAGCAAATTGGAATTATATTATCGAAGTATTTCTATTACATATGTTAGTTTAAAATATAAATTAATCTTTTTTACACTATCAATGATATATTGACGAGTTTAGATACTTACCACATTGTTTTAATTTGAATTTGAATATCGAATTTTACATATATTGTGCAGAATAGATCAGCAAAAGCCCATATGTGACTAGTGCTATTGATTCACAGCCATCAGAATGATGAAATAGAGACTAATTATGAAACTTGAAGGACCAATCTGGTTTTGCATTCAAATAATAAAATATGATTCTGCCGCGCGCTCTGCATATTCACTTTTGATACACCAGAGAAATGTTTCTCTATGCTATGCTATTGACAAGATAAAATTTCAAGAATTCTTAGGCAGATTTTTTTTTTTTTGCCCAAAAAAGACTTTCTTATTCTTGACACATAATAAGCACAAAAGTATAGGACGGTGAACCCGGCATGAAAGTTTGACTACTTTTTTTTTTTTTCCATTGACATTCACTTATGCATCTTTTGATAAAATTTGAGTGACCTCACTTTTTATCATGTGTACATAACTCAATTTTAAATACCTTTACAAGCAGGTAGTTTACCTTAAATTACATGATAACTTCTTTATCGTGTGGCTGAAATCCAAGTTTGAAAAATCTATCTATATTTAAGGCAATTCAATGTAGATTACAATAAAGGATGCCATCTGTTCTATGCCTTCAAATATTAATTTTAAGTATTCTATTTTCTTTTGTCTCTCTTGTTTAAACTCAAATAGTAAGAGTGTCAATTAGGTTTTTTGAGCAGGTTTTGACAAGTCTAGACTTGACTCACAAATAATACGAATTTTTAAATTTTAGATTCAAATTAAAAGACTCAAACTCAACTAATATTATTATATGAATTTTTTATAAATTTATATATAAATTATTAACATTTTATGTCATAATATGTATAATTATAATTTATAGATATATTTATATATATTTATATACATAATTATACTTATGTGGGTTGAGTTTTAATTGAGCATGAACCTAGTCTGGCTCAAGGTAGGCTCATATTTGGGTTATATTTAAGTCTAAACTTTATCCAATCTAATTGAAATTTAAGTACAATTGGTTTTTTGGGATCAAATAGGGTGGGCTTGAGGTGTCCAACTCCGTTAACAGCTTTATAAACTTATCCGTATCAATCAGGCAGTATATTATTCCGTTTGGGACAAACATTTCCGCAATAAACATCTCCGCAATAACCCAAAGGAAAGAGAACACAAAAAAGCCCAAAATGCAGATAGTGATAGACAGTTAGTACAAGTACAAACTACAAAACGCTGTCGTCCTACCTCGTGAAATGTGACCGTTATAGGAGGCTAATTTCAAAAAGGGTAATTGTAGACTGTAGACTAGAGATGATTGAGCTCCCAAGCTGCCATACACCCTCCCACATCCAACCCAACACACTCCCTGCACCATGCTCTGTATTCACTGCTCCCCTCTGCCCAAAATTTTTGTCCATATCTTCTTCTTTCCTTCCTTTTCTTTCTTGCTTTTCCAGTCATTTATTCATTTTCCCTTCCTGGCTTCCTCACCCCACCTTTCTCCCCCTCCAGTCCTCATCAGTCATCACCACCACCATCACCATAACCATCACCACCATTGTCCTTCTCCAGCCTCCTCATTTACACACACACACAGAGTGCACATTTTCATGTATTTTTAACTCTCTCCCCACCATCTTCTTCATGCAAAACCCATTTTTCTTGAACACTTGAAGCCCCCTTCCCCCTCCCCCCACCCACTACCCCAGCAAAAAGCAAAAAGCTGAGAAAAGGATCTTTACACCTTAACTGCATAATCTTAGCCTCTTGCAGACTCATCTGTGCACGTAGCCCCCATATTTATGTGATCTTTGGTGATTTTTTAGCTTTATAATACAATATCTGTCGAACCCATTTCGCTAAAATGCCCTGAGAATCTCTAGCACCATTTTTTTTTAATTTTTAAATTTTCAGACTGAAAATCCCAACTTTATTTAAACCTTAAAAGTTCCGAAAAGGGGGTTTTGAAAAAGATTGTGTCTTTTTTTTAAAAAAAATATTGTCATGGGTTGTACACAATCTAGAATAGACAATGAAGAATCAGTGTCAAGATGCAAAGAGCGGAGGAACCTTATGAAAGAGGCGGTTTCAGCTAGGAACGCTTTTGCTTCAGCACATTCCGGTTATGCCGTTTCTTTGAAGAACATCGGCGCCGCCTTGAGTGACTACGCACAAGGCGAAGCGCCACCATCCGCCACCTCGGCGGCAGCTGTCGGCATTGAGCCCACATTGGAGCCACCACCGAGGCCTCCTCCTCCTCCTGGGTCCCCCCTACCCCCTCCTCCTCCTCTGCCTAACTTTTCGCCTTCTCCATCGCCACCGCTCCAGCGGTCCGTGACCATGCCGGAATTTTCATCGTCGAAGCTGATGAGGGTGAAAATGAAGGGAATTGACGAGGATGAGGATGAAGAAGAGGAATTTGAGGAGGATGATGAGAGAAATGGTTCTTCATTGAGGCCTAGAAATAGGCGAAATGCGGTTGAAGAAATAGCTCCCGAGACCGCTGTAAGGACGCCTTATACGCCGCCCCCACCGGAGAGTAAAGGGATGGCTTGGGATTATTTCTTTATGGTGAATAATATGCCGGGTTCAGATTTGGGGGAAGTGGAGGAAGAGGAGTATATAATGGAGGAACAAAATGGGAATGAGGGTGGAAGATTTAGCAATGTGGGTGGCAGTGATGACTTCAAGACTCCAGAGAAGGTTGGAATTGATAGAAGAGGGATGGAGACGGAGGAAGAGGTGACCCCTGTGGTAGTAGTGAAGGAGAAGCAATTTATGCATTCGAAGACAGCGCCTGCAGGAATTAGTGGAGTAGGGAATGGTAATATTGAGAAAGTAGTAGCTAGTAGTAGTGGTGTTGATTTCTTGAAGATTCTGAGTGATGTTGATGATCATTTTCTCAAGGCTTCTGAGAGTGCACAAGAGGTTTCCAAAATGCTTGAGGCTACAAGAATGCATTATCATTCGAATTTTGCTGACAATCGAGGTTAGTGACGCTACAATTTGATGGAAAGTAGGAATCTTTCATTGGTGTTTTCCACTAATTTTCTTTCTGTTAGTATAACACTCCTGATTGTTTTTGTTATTGAGGGATATCATGGTTTTAAGAGTCATCTTTGCTGTTAGTACAGTTTCTTTGGCATCTGGAGTGATGCAATTAAATTATCAAAGATTTTCTTGGTATCAGCAGCTTGTGACAAAAGTTTCGGGCTGGTCATTTTTCTTCCAAGTCATGAACTGATTGCCAATTTGCAGGGCACATTGACCATGCTGCAAGAGTCATGCGAGTTATTACCTGGAACAGATCGTTCAGAGGTGTGCCAAATGGTGATGTTGTAAATAATGATCCTGATGCAGAAGAATACGAGACACACGCCACTGTTTTAGATAAGTTGCTAGCATGGGAGAAAAAGTTATACGAGGAAGTCAAGGTACGCCAATGTCTTAACTGGTTTAATACTTGTTATAGCTTTTTTTTTTTTTTTGGCACCTGCTTTCTAGGGAATGAAAGGAGAATTGCTCAGTACAATGTGTGTTTCGATTACATAAAGTGTCAAAAATTTCATGCATTAATAGCCGCCAGTCTGTTGAACAAATGGCTCAAGTAAATCCTTTTACAGTTACATGATATTAGCTTGTGTTCAGATTAACTGTAGTTCTGAAATGCACATGGAGTACACGGTATGCTGAGGATAGTGGGATGGACTACAATTGGTTTAGCCTTTTACTCATGCCTTGAGTTTAAACGGGCTTGGTGTGCCAAAGTGTTTTGCATGGTACTTATTGGCCTTTTTTTTTCAAAGATGTAGTTTAAATAACTCTGACACATTAAAATTAAAAGTAATGTTGTAACCAAAATATGTTGTTTTGAGTTTCTTCTCGCCTCCCAAATTGTTAAATTATAGTTAAACCACTTGTGGTTGCTAATCCTTTTTTTGACTTGATCAGAATTAATGTCCATGTCCCTCCCCCCGGGGGGTAGGGTGGTTCGGGGGGAGAGGGTGTAAGTGAGAAGTCCCAGGTTTGAGCCTTGCCACTTACACGGTATGCTGAGAATAGTGGGATGGACTACAATTGATTTAGCCTTTTACTCATGCCTTGAGTTTAAACGGGCTTGATGTGCCAAAGTGTTTTGCATGGTACTTATTGGCCTTTTTTTTTTCAAAGATATAGTATAAATAACTCTGACACATTAAAATTAAAAGTAATGTTACCAAAACATGTTGTTTTGAGTTTCTTCTTGCCTCCCAAATTGTTAAAAACATTGGAACTCTATAGTTAAACCAGGTTCAAGAGGGTGTAAGTGAGAAGTCTCAGGTTTGAGCCTTGCCACTTACACAGTATGCTGAGAATAGTGGGATGGACTACAATTGATTTAGCCTTTTACTCATGCCTTGAGTTTAAACGGGCTTGATGTGCCAAAGTGTTTTGAACTGAGTTTCTTCTCGCCTCCCAAATTGTTAAAAACATTGGAACTCTATAGTTAAACCACTTGTGGTTGCTAATCCTTTTTTTGACCTGATCAGAATTAATGTCCATGTCCCGTCCCCGGGGGGGGGGGTGGTTCGGGGGGAGAGGGTGTAAGTGAGAAGTCCCAGGTTCGAGCCTTGCCACTTACACTAAAAATATTTTAAAAAAAAATGAAAGGTCCATGTCTAAAGCAATCTAAGAAAGCCTAGGTCCTGTGCTAACTAGGGCTTGTCACCTGTCTCAGTTTGCGATGTAGCTTATTCTGTAATGATGTTCTTTTGCATGATGTCGAATTGAGAATTATTAGCATCATTTGGATCTCATTCTTATTTAAACAGTCTCACAGACTGGTGAACTTATGAAACTCTGCTTATTCTGTAATGATGTTCTTTTGCATGATGCCAAACTGCGAATTATTAGCATCATTTGGATCTCATTCTTGTTTAAACACTCTCACAGACTGGTGAACATATGAAACTCGAATATCAGAGGAAAGTCACTCTCTTGAGCAAGCTTAAAAAACGTGGTGCAAGTATTGAATCACTGGAGAAAGCGAAGGCTGCTGTTAGTCATTTACAGACACGATATATAGTTGACATGCAGTCACTGGATTCAACGGTCTCAGAAGTGAATGATATCCGTGACAAGCAACTGTATCCAAAACTTGTTGCTCTCATTAATGGGTGAGTTTTTGTTTGTTTCCTCCATTTGTTCTATCATCCTCAAAGACATGATAGGTTTGTAGAGAACAGGAGGTAGTTACTCTGAGCACGAATTTTAAAAATTTCTCCAAATATTGGACAGTAACCTTTCTTATGCTCATGGCAAAGCTTTTATTTGTTGGTCATGCAATGAATGCAATGACATGGTATACAATTTGGACCTCCACCTCATGATATCATTATTTGGTCCTTTGAATGGTATCAAATATCATATATTTTTTATGTGCTCCTTTAATTGAAATATATTAGGCTTGACATGCCAAAGGAACTCTCATTTGGACTTCCACTTCAATAACAGTTTTGGTCCTTCATATTGTAATTCTATTTGAGAAATGTTCTTTCTTCAATCGTTTGTGTAGCATGATAGCATTGTAATTCCACTTCTGTGTACTTTCTTCTTCCTTGCCAACTAGATAATTGTCTAATGGGTTCTATTAAACCAGAGTGCTAGACTTACTAGTGAATACTTTCCACAGGATACAGATAGATTGAAGTTAGTTAGGTTGAAGTTACTCATTAACAGTTAATCTCGAGAGAGATACACTCTTAAGCAGTCTGGCTAATTATTGTTGATATGAATTGATTCTCTGGTTTGAGTTCTAAATTGACAGCTGGAGAATAGTAGCCCTCCAAACAAGTAGGTGATTTTAGGGGTGGCAATCGGGTCCAAATCAGGTTGGCGGGTCGGGTCCGCCAGAAAATCTGTTGACCTGAACCCGACCCGTCAACCCATTTCGGGTCAAGTATGCTGACCCGAACCCGAAAATTTCGGGTTGGTGGATCAACCCGAAACTTAATTTTAATTTATTAATTTATCACTGTAATTTCTAATAAAATCAATTTCTCACAAAACTAATTACATAATCAAGTAATAAAAATTTAAATAAATAATTCCAAACCAAATCTAAAATAAATTAAACACCGTAAAAGTGTTTTATCCCAAACAAAATATAAAATAAATTAAAACAGTATAAAAGCAAAAAATAATATAATATATTATTTGTCCAAATATAATAATTTCAACTTCACACAAATTAAATAAATTCATTTAGGATTAAGTAATTAATGCCTTTGAAAAAAAAGAATAACTTAGTTTAGTTAGATAAAATTATTTTTATGTTTATTAAATTATTTTTAATTCGTAAACGGGTCATATCAGGTCACCACGGGTTGACCTGAAATCGACCTGTTTTCTTTTCGGGTTCAACCCGATTCTGACCCGAACTCCCGAAACCTCAACCCAAATCCATTAATTTCGTGTTAGGTTCGTGTCGTGTTTTCAGGTCGTGTCGAAAATTGCCACCCCTAGGTGATTTGATAGAGGAGATGGCATTTCAGGATGAGTTGGAGAAATCAAAGTTGATTAGCTAGCTGAGATACATTTAGCAGCAACTCTTGATGAGCCATGACAGAGAGAAGAAAACATTATAAACAGTAGCTAAAAAAACAGTGCGTACTCACAGAGAGAGAGAGGAGATTGTTCCACTAAGCAGAGCATATCTTCTCTGATAATGTCATCGTTAATGGCAAGCAATTTTGAAACACTGGCTTCTTCTTGGTTCACTCTGAGTCAGCCATCAATCGTAGTTCTGAGTAAAGGGGGATGGGCTAGGTCAAGGCCATTTAGTGGAATGGTTTTGTTCCTGTATCTTTAGTGAAACAGCAGGTTTTTCCACATGAATTGGATGCGTTGTCTTGTTTGATGTTGAAGGTCCAGCTCGTATAAATGTCTTTGGCGCTTCTGGAATCCACTCTGTGGTGCATCTGAAGATTCAATGGCAGCTGGAATTTAAGTCTGGATATTCCTTGCATTTTGTTTCCAGCTATTTAGTCAGATTTTTGCTTTTTCATCTTTTTTGCTCCTTTAAACCATAGGCTGGGCTGTGAGTGGCTACATAATTTTATTCAACCTCTTAATCAAGTTTTATCCCCTTTCACATTTGAGCATCACTTGCAATTTAGATCCTTAAAAGGGACACAGATGACAGTGATTTCTTTCTATAAAATAAAAACTGTCTATATTTTTCTTAAGCCTCTTCCCTCTCCCATTCTCCTTACAACTTTGACATTTGAGTCCCATCTTTTGAAAAAATCTCATTTCTTTTTTCATTTAAATGTCTGGTCGTTCTATTTTTGCTTCTCATTTAAAGACTTTTTTTAAAGTGATTTGGCACTTGGTTCTTCTTTGCATGGACCTTGTACTGAGTATGTTTTGTGTAATTTTTCCTTAGTTCCTAACAATCTTGGATTCATTTCTGCTTAACCTTCTGGTCCTTAATTAGTATTATGGAATACAGTGAATCATGCTCTATCTGACCTGGAGTTTAATCTGTGCTTCTAATTTTGCAGGATGACCAAGATGTGGGAATCAATGTGGATGCATCATCAAGATCAGAAGAACATTGCTACTGACCTCAAATTGCTTGATGTTACTGCTGCTCCCAGAGAGACGAGCAAACATCACCACGAGCGCACTCGCCAGCTTTTACATCATGTCGAAGACTTGCATTCACATCTGGAAAAGCTCATGACAAATCAGAAACAGTACATCCATTTCCTTAACAGCTGGTTGAAGCAAAATCTCATCCCAATTGAAAGCAGTTTGAAAGAGAAAATATCATCACCACCCAGATCCCAAAATCCTCCAATTCAACCCCTCCTTCAAATTTGGCATGACCATCTTGAGAAGCTTCCTGATGACGCCGCCAAATCTGCAATCCATACCTTTTCTGAGGTGGTCAAGAGAATCCTTGTTCATCAAGAGGAGGAAACGAAGCTCAAGGAAAAGTGCGAGGAAACGAGAAAAGAATATTTGCGTAAGAGCCAGGCTTTTGAAGACTGGTATCACAAGTACATGCAACGTAGAACTCCACATGATGATGCAGACCCCGATAGGCCTGAAGAAACTAATCCCAATGACCCTCTTGCCGAGAAGCGGTTTGTGGTGGAGAGCTTGAAAAAGAGGTTGGAAGAGGAAATGGAAGCTCACCAGAAGCACTGCATTCAAGTGAGGGAGAAGTCTTTAGCAAGTCTCAAAATCGGGTTGCCTGACCTTTTCAGAGCTATGTCAGATTATGCTGAGGCATGTTTAAATGCTTATGGTAGTTTGAGATCACTCGCACAGTCACACAAGCCAAATGGAGTTTCTTCATGACTGTGTAACCCTTGCTTCACTATTAAGTTAGTACGTTCTTGGCTTTCCCTAGTAAACGCCTAAGTTGTTGTGGAAATCCTTTTTGTGTGAGTTCTATCTTGGAATTTTATGAAGGCGGACTTTTACTGTTTTAAATTTGTTATGTTATAATAATTAATCGTTTGACTTGTGATGTTGTTATAAATATTTCATAAATAACTTTAATAATTAGAATAATTTCATATAATGAAGATTTCATGAGATGATTGAGTAATTTTAATATTTAATTATACATGTAAATTTATCATGTCAATGAAAACATATAGCATTTGAAATCATGAATCAAAGTGGAAAAGTAATTAGCATTAAAAAAAAAAAGAAGAAAAGAAAGGTGGAAGAGTAATTGACTAAAAATCAATAATGTTAAAAGTCATAAATGTTAATATACCAGTGACGTTTCACTAAAAAAATTTTTTTTTTTTTTGGTCTTTAGTAACTTAGTGGTAGTGAGCATGAGTTCTAATTAATTCATGGAATCTGGAGGCAAGTTTAAAATAAGAGAAAAAGAAAAAACTAAAAAAAAAAAAAAAGAGAAAGCTAAATGAAGCAGAAAGGGCAAAAAAAAAATGCACAAAGTAAAAAACTAAAAAGAAAAGTCCCCGGCCATTTATTTGCACCTTTGTTGGATGAGCAAGGTAATCAAAGTCAACTGTCCGGTTGTTAGTCAAAATGGTCGGCTGGAACTCGGGCGGTTCTTCAACAACCGTTCCGATCTAATGGTTTAGTGGTTCAGCCGTCCGGTTCAGCACTTATGGGTTTTAGGACTGAACAGCCCAGAAAATAGTCCGATCGATGGTTTCTATGGTCCAACCAAACAGTTTCGGTTGAGTTTTAAAACATACACAGTTGTTTAGATAGCTACTTATTTGTAAAAATTTATTTGCTTGCAATTTTTAAAATATTTTTTTATTTTAAAGATATCATTTCAAAAAAGTATTCCAGTATTTTTTCAAAAAATTATACTAAATAATCTACTAGCCAAACATACTTCTAGAACACCAACTTGTGTGGATTTTTCGGGTAAATACTGGAGAACATGTTAAAAACTAAAAATTGTGAAAAGGGTTGAATTTTCAGGGAATTGGAGAAAATGTTAGAAACTAAAAATTTTGAAAATGGTTGATTTAAGTTTTCTTCCAAAAAGCCAATGTAAAGGCATCTCTTTAACTATTTATCTAAAGACATTACAAAATTTCAATTAAATTCTTGATTTACACTTCCAATTAAGATTAACAAAATTTAGGATTTAAAACTTAAATTAAATTTTGATTTGAACCCAGTTGAATTACTGCCTGATTTGTATTACAATTAAATTTTGATTTGTAACAAATTCTTCCAACTATGAATTGGTGGGGTGTGCCAGGCCAAGGCAACAGTGCAAAGCCCAAGCGACACGTAAGAGCCCCAGTAGCAAGCTACTGTATTGGGCCCTTCCCCTAAAAAATTAATTTAATATCATGTGGGCCAATGGCCCACGTATCAGATATTAAACTGATAAGAACAGATACTACACTTGATCTTAGCCAAAAGGCCGAGAAAGGTATGCTGTGTAACGTTGTCTCAACGACCTTTTATAGCGCCCTGTTTTCGACCGGTCCTTTTACTCTTTCTATGTGGGATGGGAAACACCGACTTTCTTCTATTTGATCCAAATCCTATTTTCACAATATAATGGTTATACTCTGCAACTAAATTGGGAAGAAATTTTCCTATGGCAGAATCAAGGAGATAATGGTGCAACAATTATTAGCTTGAATAGACGTAATTTTGATAAATATGCAATACTACATAGGTTTGAAGGTTGAGAAAGTCTTTGGATGGTTTTTTGTTGTGATAATTGGTTTGTAGTAACTCTTTGTACCACCCATGGTTGCTCTAGCGCTTGGATTTTGGTAATTTCTGTTGCTATTCTTATTGAATGGAATTCGTTTCTTTTGTTTTGGACTAAATCGAAATCTAAAATTATATACGGTAGCAGAAACAAGAATACCACATATGCAGAAAAAGGCTTGAATTGAATATATTTGCCATAGAGTTTGTTTATTGTAGACTAGTATGGTCGAGTGCACAAGGTGTTGCACTGGCCCGGGGTATACAATTTGCCATTTGCTTCTCAGGACAGACCTGAGAAAACAATTCCAATATCTTGATACCAAGAACCAAAACTTTTTAAATTTTCTTTCAATAAATTTCTTGTAAATATGAAAGGCTAAATTGACTTGCACCAAATTTTCATTGCATACGTATGTGGCATCTTTGTGTGGTGTAGAACCTCTGCCCAAATTTGGTTGCCTAGGCCTTTTTTAATAAATTAATTCAGCATTTAAATTTAATAAATTCATATCTTAACATGGTTAGACTATTTAGTGACAAAAAATTGAACACTTAAATTAATTAAGTAGCTTTGAATTTCTTAGCCAAAATTTATTCTCAAAAATAATTAATGAACTATTCGCTTAGTACTTAATGTGATATAAACTCAAATGTATCATATTTAGTATTTAACAATTCAATAATTTAATGAATTCAGATTTTAAATTTTAATTTTCAAACTTCAGTTTTTCTCTAAGCCATGGCATCAAGCATTCTGTCCTTTTCTTTTGGGTTAATAATGTCAATATGGTCTTTGAAAGTATTCCAAAGTGTCAATTTTGGCCCTCAAATTGAGAACGCCTCAATTTGATTCTCCAAACTAGGGGTGTTTCGCGAATCGAGCCGATCGCGAGCGGCTCGAATACGAGCTCGACTCGAGCTCGTCAATATCGAGTTCGAGTTAATTAAGTCGATCTCGAGTTCGAACTCGATCTCAAAAACATTAACCTCGTTGGCTCGCAAGCTCAATTATATATATTTTTTTATTTTTTATTTTTTATTTTAATAGTAAAATTACATATATATCCCTAATATTTTATTATTTGTTAAAAAAATTATTATTTTATTCATTTTTTTAAAAAAAATTATTTTCTATTTTTTAAAAATAAAATAATTATTATTATTATTTTTTATTTTTTAAACTCGAGCTCGACTCGAATTTGACTCGAGCTCGAGCTCGAGCTTGATATTTTGAGCTCGTCGAGCTTGAGCTCGAGTTCGAGCTTCACAAAATTAACTCGAACTCGGCTCGATTAGCCAAAGCTCGACTCGAACTCGGCTTGTTTGCATCCCTACTCCAAACTGAGTAGAATTTTCCAATTCAACCCTCATAGTCGCAAAAAAAATGTTTAAGCTAGTCAAGTAAACAAATTCTGTTGAGCACTTTAAAAATAATATTTTAACACATAGTGAAATATTTAGTGCTAGAATGGTCATTTAAAGGATCAAATTTCAAAATTAGTAAAAACAGACATATTTCACACATTTAGTGAAATATTTCTTTCTAGATTGGCTATGATAGAGTATTATTTGGAATAATTACTGTAGTATTTTTTGTAATGTGATGTATGTGAGATAAAAAGTAGTTGGGAGTATAAAAAAATGGGTTGAAAAATATGTTTATGATGTAAGCGAAATATTATTTGGAATAATTTTCTATTGAAACAAACTCACTCCTGCAAATTATCGGTTTAAAAAGCTTTATCGCCAGTATAATTTGGAATCTGCTCTAATTTTTAAAGTATTTATCATCTCGAAGTGCGGCTGAACCCGAGAAAGACGCGAATTATATATCATCTTAATCTTTGACATTTTTCTGCAAAATTCTTTTGCTGCTATTTTAATGAACAAAGAGATGCAAAAAATATGGGTAACTGCTACTTCTATTTTAAATGAATAAACATGCAAAAAATTCCCAAACTTCCAATTAAATTCTTTATTTAATTTTTTACACAAAATCAGCAACACTTGAGATTCAAAAATCTTTGTAGCAACACTTGAGATTTGTAGCAAATTTTTGTAACCTTGAATTGGTGGGGCGTGCCAGGCCAAGGCAGCAGTGCCATGCCAAGGCGACACACAAGAGCCCCAGCAGCAAGCTACTGTATTGGGCCCTTTCCCTAGAAAAATTAATTTAATATCATGCGAGCCGATGGCTCGCGTATCAGATATTAAACTGATAAGAACAGATACTACACTTGATCTTAGCCAAAAGGCCGAGAAAGGTATGCTTACTAACGTAGTCTGAAGAAGCTTTTATAGTACATTTGTCTTCAATTTGTGCTTTCAACATGTCCAATGTGGGACTCGGGAACAACCGACCTTCTTTACTTTGAACCAAATCCTAATTTTCATAGTGGCAATTTAATCAAGAAACAAATAATACCCTGAGGCTCTATTTGTTTGACGGGAAAGTTGTGTAATTAAGTATATCGTAGGAAAAGTGAAGTGAAGTAAGATAAAGGAAAAGAAAACTGACCTTCCTACATGTGTTTGGTTAAAAAAAATGATGAAAAAAATATAAATTTTTTTGTTTGTTTAGTCTAAAAGTTGCAAAAAAATGGTTAGTGTATTCATTAATAGAAAATATTCTAGATCGAACTTCTCCATTTTTTATATTTAGTATACATAAAAACATGTAATAAATATAACATTTTGTATATTGGAAGAGTTATTTACCTCAAAATTAATCACACTCTTTAATAATAAGTTCATATATTATATGTGTAATAGTTATTTCACAAATATACAGGCATATAAGAAGAGCATAAAATGTAAATGAAACAAAATACTAACATCATAAAGATTCAACAAATTACTAATTAATTAATTATTAAAATAAGAATAAAATATCTAACTGCGAGTTGGTTTTTTGAATTGTAGATTTAAGATGTTCTATTTGTGTAGAAGTTTAGAATTGAGGAAATAATTTAGAAAAAAAGGAATTTTAAAAGAAATTGAATTAGTTGAAACTTTCCAATGACTCACTCTCCTATCGAGTTTTGCAAGAAAAATTTGCTATAAAATTTATGTGACGGGTCCCATAAATTTCCTAGCAAACAAACATTTAAAACTTGCAAAAAAAAAGTTATAACCTAAGATTTTAAAGTGAATAATAGGTTGCGTGTGGCCTAAATAGCCTTTTTGAGCCCCTCTCTCTCTTCTTTTTTTTTACTCGTGCTCCTCATCACAACTCATCCCATCCGCAACCTAATTGTCAAGACTCTAGAGTTCAAACCTTAAACTTTGACGGCAA